TGGATTACCATACATCTGGAGGGTCCGCTTGACGGACGAGTGAAGGATGGAGAGCGCTCTCCCCAGTGATAATGACAGTGATCTGGCAGCTCTCAGATTGAAGTCAAGGGCCACTGGGTGCTCCGCCAAAAGACGGCCGGTCAGGCTCTGAACAGCCCTCCACAGGGGGCAGTGTTTAATTACCTCAGTCCAGTCGACTCTCCAGCTAAAACAAAAGCAATTGCCACACTTCGAAAACAAAAAAATGAAAATTAACAGGGCTGGGGCGACTCAGTAATGCAGAATGCTTTGTGGAGGAGTAATCTGTATGCAAAGCGGGAGCAGTTGGCAGTGTGCGGTTCCCTGAAAATCTCAGTTTGATGATCTAAGCAGAGCTGTAATATTTCTCTGTTAAGATAAGAGACAAACTAAAACGAATCAACACACAAACAAGTCCCAAATTCGTCTGGCTCACACTGACTGATCCAAACAATCAATAACAAACAAAAGCAGCTTTTAGCATCTTCTTTGAATTCTAAAGTTCTTTATTTAGTCTTGAAAACCAATGACTTTCGTCAAGGTGTACACATACCATGGGAGGTATTTATTACAGTACCTAATACATATAAGGAAATATATTTATTAGCTTTAAATGGATTTAAATAGCAAATTGTGACTAAACTCCTGTTTTTAAAGAACTTTTAAGGAAATAAAAAGGTGTGTAGTGTAACAAGTATATACAACAGTTTGATTAGAGAGTCATTGAAATCATTAACAACTTGTTTTATTCAGGAACACAACTACAATGTGTTGCATGGATAAATGTCACAGTCATTCTGCTTGGATTTAGTTTAAACTATTTCCTTTTAGTGCAGCAAAAATAGACAACATAACTAGAAAACATTTCTCGGTGTGAACTTTATTCACCTGTTGTATAAAAAAAAACTACTGTAGTTTTATAAAATTGTGTAGATGACACTGTCAATGGCTACACAGTATTGATATTATTTCTTTTTTAAGTGACTTAAAGCTGCCTCAAAGAGAAACGGAAACACAAAAACAAACCACAACAACAACAGCAACAACCCTCCATCCCTAGCCTTTCAATAATTCTTCAGTGGTTCTAATTAGTGTAATTAATTCAGTCTAATGAGCCCTCTTCTCTCAGTCTACACCCTCTAAATCATGTCATAAACACTTTATAAGGAAACTGAACGAGCACTTACGCTTTATGTAGGTTTTTGTAAATGGCTTTAATCCACAGGTGACGCTGTTGTCTATGAGAGCTGCGTGAAGGGTCGGGGTCTAAGAGCTTTCATGAAGAGAGCACAGGCCAAAACACGTGACGTCACGCCAGGAAAACCACGAGCCCCACTGCTGATAGTCTTAATTAGCTTTCTGACTCAATTAGTTTCGTTAATGAGCGTGTTGGTTGTAAGCTAGCGTTTTGGCTGTTGAAGACTAATTCATAATAAGCCACACTTCACTTCAGCTCTGACCTTTTTTACGTCTTTTCAGTTTTGTTCTTAACCTTACCTCTAGCATTTCTCTTCTTGTCATCGGTTTCTGCTGCTTCTGTGATGTTCCAAACTCTTCTTTCTCACGTCTGTCTCTTTGTCTTTTTCTTTGTACAGCTAGGATTGTGTAATAGAGTGAAAAGAGCAGCCTCATCTACATTCTCTGAGCTCCAGGCTCAACTCACATCGACTACAAGACACTAAATGTGACAGACCAAACAAGTCAAACACACTACAGACAGACATCAGAGAAACCTAAACACAGATCGCTGTCCAAAAGTCGCTCTGAATAAAACATGCCTGCTCTATTTGCCTCTGAAGCTACTTGATTAACTGATCACTTGCTGTCTTGAAGGAAAAACGATATATGTTTGCAAATGCAGATTTATTAAACGGATAGTATGTGTTTGGTTCACTAAAAAGGAATGGCTCATAAGAGTCAGTTGTTCAGGAATAGGTAGGATTAGACGGGCTGTGCTGTATGCTTTTGATTCACTAAAATGAACTGGTTCATCAACAGATTTGGAGTCATATATTTGGGTATTATTTGGACTGCACTGGTTGTGTTGTATAGATGTATAGATTCACTAATAAGAACCGGCTCATACAAGTAATTCTGAATTAGTTAGGCTACACTATTTTTTTTTTGCTGTATTGTTTTGATTAACTAATAGTTAATTAAATTAAAACTAAAAGTTAAAACTGGCTCGTAAGAGTCATTTGTTCTGGCATTAGTTTGACTACACTGGTCATGCCGTATGGATTTGATTCAATAAAAAGAATTGGCCCCTAATGGTCATTCAGTCAGGGATGAATTGGACTACATAGTTATGCGGTTTAATTTTGAGTGACAAAAAAAAAAGAAAGAAAAAAGAATGGCTCATGTGTCATTTGTTCAGGAACTGGTAAGATTACACTGGTCATGCTGCTTTTCATTCAATAAAAATAACTAAATCATAAGCGCCATTCCTTGTGGTTGGACTACATTGGTCAGTTTTGATTCACTAAAAGAATCATAAGCTCAAAAAAAAAAAAAGTAATTTTGTTTCCATTCTTTTTTCATTTTGATCTGGTTCTGAAAATCACTGTCGCACATTGGCCTCTCACAGCTGCAGCGGACCTCTTTCCATTAAAGTAAAATACTATGATTTGCATTATATCTAATACAAGATTTAGAATGTCTACTAAATTCCTTTTTGCAATTTTAAATGTCTTTTTCAAGCAAACTACATCTACACACTGTAGCTGGAAGAATGCAGTAGGAGAACTTCAGTGCCAATGAGATTTGTGACCCTGGACCACAAAACCAGTCATAAGGGTAAATTTTTTCTAAATTGAGATTTATATATCATCTGGAAGATTAATAAATAAGCTTTCCATTGATGTATGGTTTGTTAGGATAGGACAATATTTGGCCGAGATACAACTATTTGAAAATCTGGAATCTGAGGGTGCAAAAAAATCTAAATATTGAGAAAATTGCCTTTAAAGTTGTCCAAATGAAGTCCTTAGCAATGCATATTGCTAATCAAAAATTAAGTTTTGATATATTTACAGTAGGATATTACAAAATATCTTCATGCAACATGACCTTTACTTAATGTCCTAATTTTTGGCATAAAAGAAAAATTGATAATTTTGACCCATTCAATGTATTGTTGGCTATTGCTACAAATATACCCCAG